TCCACCCTTCTTCACCAACACCTCCACCCTCCTCCACCATCACCTCCTCATCCTCCTCCACCATCACCTCCTCATCCTCCTCCACCACCACCTCCAACACCATCGCCTCACACGTGTCCACATTTTTTCCGTGACAACATACTGTATGTGACGTTCTAGTACCTGAAAACTAAAGAGAAACACTATTGATAAATTCTATTATTAGCCAGAGCGTTCACAAAGTCCCTTGATGTGCGTGTTTACAAACTGCAGAGTACTTTCACGAACGTACGCTTAACATTTTTCTATATACAGCTGTGTTACTAATCATATTAACATGAAGAGCAGAATCAGGCGCAGAAAATAACTGAGAACATAACATTTGAGTGGATGTAGAACTTCTTTAATGGAGTCTGTCAAAACATAAAGGGACTTAATAATACACCATGTGAAATACAAAATTAACCAGCACTGTTTTTACATTATTTACCCAAAGGTCACACACACACACACACACACACACACACCAGAGGCGGTTCAATAGGTCTACTTCCCCCTGTGGTATGACAAGAAATTGGCACCAGATTTATGAGGACAATAATTATAATGGTCTTATATTGCGCCTTCTCCTCCCCCGTGGCTATGTAACGTGACCTAACCTGACCTAACCTCACCTAACCTAACCTCACCGCCATTAGAAAATTTTACATCCACTGCTGTACTGAAGGGCTGTACTTCTTGTTTCTGAATAAATTATTTTAATTATTGTACGAAGTGAGTTTACAGTCTAGTTAGTGTGCCTTGTACAGTATTGAAGAACAGTCGGATAATTCTGAAAATAAGTCATAAGGTTCTACAGCAGATTGGGACTCTGAAAAAGTGTGTCGAAGAAATGAAAATTAACGGACCTACTGTTAGGGGAGAGGAGGAACACCAGGAACGGCTCCAGCGCAGGAACAATGTAATAGTTTTTGGAGTCCCAGAGAGCCAGGCAGAGGGAACTGTGAGTAAGGAAACACACGACAAGGTGCTGTTTCAAAATATTTGCACAGAGGTTCTGAAGATTCCAGCAACCCCTCAGGATGTGAGGAGACTGGGACAAAAGCAGGGGGTTAAGCCTCGCCCCCTCAGGATCACACTAGGGAGTGAGGAGGAAAAATGGCAAGTTATCCGGCAGGCAAAAAACTTAGCAAGGAGCGAGGCATTTCGAGATGTATTTATTCACCCAGACCGCACGGTAATGCAGAGGGAACAGCACAAGAAGCTCCTGCTGGACTTGAAGCAGAAGAGGGAGGAGTCGAGAAGGAACGGGGACAGGTGCACATGGGTTATACTCAGGGGGAGGGTAGTGGAAACAAGTGTGCCGACACAGGGCCAGGGGGCAGCAGTGCACCCTCCACCCACTCAACCCCCCACCCGGGAGGCGGCACCGGCTCAGCCTACCGGACAGGAGGGAACGAGCGCCGTGTAAACAATGAAATTTTTAACCACACCCTGCAAAATACAGTGTACTTAGCAAATGCTGCAGCTTCTGAGAATGTGGGTGGAGCGGGTTTATTACTAAGAGCAGAGACGTTACCGAGAACAAATTCTGGCTTGAATGTCATGTACACTAATACCGACACGTTCCTTGATAAGAGGGAGGAGTTTGAAACACTACTAAGAGTACACCAACCAGATATTGTAGGAGTTGTAGAACTGTTGTACAAGAACAGGAGAATCGACCCAGAGGAATGTGAGTTCAGTATTGCTGGATATGACTCATTTACGAACCTAACTCAAGAATCCTGCAGGAGGGGTGTGGTTATCTACGCTAGGCAAGACCTTAGAGCCAGCCAGGCGAGGGTACAGGGAGAGGATGTCTTTGAAGAGTCCAAGTGGTGTAAAATTAAATTAAAGGGAGGGGACTTACTTATCGTCGGGTGTATCTACAGATCCCCGAACTGTGGCCCACTAAATCAAAGGAACTTAAGAACCTTAATAAACAATGCGGCGATGCTCAACCCCAGCCACCTCCTTATCATGGGGGACTTTAACTATGGCGACATCGACTGGAGAAACGAGTCAACCCCGAATGACTTGAATAATCCTGCTACTCTTTTTGTAGAAACTCTGAGAGATAATTTTCTGTTCCAACATGTGAGAGACCCGACACATTACAGAGGGGAACAAACACCCAAGCCACTTGACCTCATCATAACAAACGAGGAGGGTATGGTGGCCAAACTGGAACACCTTGCCCCAGTTGGCACCAGTCACCATACAGTGTTGTCATTCAGATTTAACTGTTACCTAGTTCAAGATAAGGCCAGGCCAAGGTGCAAATATTACAAGGGAAATTACAATGGGATGAGGGAAGAGATGAGGGGTATCAACTGGCCTGACTTATTAAGGTACAAGAACGCAGACACTACGCTGAATATCATAACTAGTAAAATGACCCATTTGATCGATAAATATATACCCAAGACCAAACCCAGTGCTTCTAGGAATACGAGGGGATCCCTACACATGAACCATGCGGCGGTCGACAAAATTAAGAAGAAAACCCAGAAATTCAAGACGTGGGTTGGGTCAAACGATGAGCAAGACAGGAGGATGTATGCAAGAGCCAGAAACCAAGCAAAGATAGAGTGTAGGAGGGCTGAAAAGGAGTTCCAAAGGCTGGTTGCACGCGAGGTCAAGTCAAACCCAAAGGCGTTTTACCGCTATGCAAAGTCGAAATTGAAAACGCGAGTAGGAGTATCAGACCTGAGGCTTGAAGATGGTAGTTACGCAGATTCTGACCAGGATAAAGCTGAGGCATTGAACAGCTTCTTTTCCTCAGTGTTCACAAGAGAGGATGCAACTAACCTTCCTGCGTTTGAGGACAGACGGTTCGACACAGCACTGACCCACATTGTGTTCACAGAAGAGGGTATTAGAAATAAACTGTCCAGGCTAAAGGTCCATAAGAGTCCTGGACCTGACATGGTGCATCCTAGAGTGCTAAGGGAGCTGTGCAACGAGCTTGCAGAGCCCCTGAAGATTCTGTTTTGTAAATGCCTGGATGAACAAATGGTCCCCAGTGAATGGAAAGTGGCTTATGTGAGTCCTATCTTCAAGAAGGGCGATAGGCACTCCACGAACAACTATAGACCGGTGAGCCTGACCAGCATAATATGTAAAGTACTTGAGAGTATTATCAGAGATGCAGCGATGGAACATCTACTACGAAACAACCTTGTAAAAGATTGCCAACACGGTTTTATGCCGGGGCGCTCTTGCTTGACACAATTGCTCAAGGTATTGGATATTTGGACCCATATTCTAGAACGGGGTGGTAATATCGACAATATTTACCTAGATTTTGCCAAGGCTTTCGACAGTGTACCCCACGAAAGGCTGAAAATCAAACTGGAAGGGTACGGAATTCGGGGAAATGTCCTAGCGTGGATAGAAGACTTTCTACATGACCGCAAGCAATGTGTGGTGATTAATGGCACGAAATCGTCATCTGTACCTGTAACAAGTGGGGTACCGCAGGGTAGTGTATTGGGCCCGCTGTTGTTTGTTTGTTTCATAAATGATATGCCTGACGTTGTACACTCCTCCATACAAATGTTTGCCGATGACGCCAAGTTATTTCGGGAAATTAAGAACCAAGCGGACTGTGAAGAGCTGCAGAAGGACCTCTGTGGGCTCCAGGAATGGTCGAAGGAATGGCTGCTGAGATTCAATGTCACGAAGTGTAAGAGGATGCACCTGGGGCGTACCAACGGTAAGGAGGCGTACCATATGTCCCAACGGGATGAAGAAAATGTACTAGTTGAGACTGTGTGTGAGAAGGACCTAGGTGTGTATGTTGACAATGAGCTGAAGTTCTCGGGCCATTGTGAGAAGAAGGTAAATCAGGCAAATAAATTATTGGGTCTTATAAGAAGGTCGTTCAGATATCTAGACGGTCCGTCCCTCGTGACGATCTTCAGGAGTGAAGTGCTTCCCCATCTGGAGTACTGTCACCCCATCTGGTCCCCGAGATATGCTAGGGACTGTCAGTTGGTTGAAAATGTTCAAAGGAGGGCCACCAAGCTGGTGCCTGCACTTCGGCATCTCAGCTACCCTGCGAGATTGGAGCGCCTGAACTTGCCTAGCTTATACTACAGACGGGCAAGGGGGGACCTAGTTGAGGTTTATAAGCATCTCAGGGGGCACTACTCAGTTGAGTGTCCTTACTTGGAGCTGGCGGACGCTCGCCCCACAAGGGGTCATAGCTCAAGATTGAAGAAGCCGCAAGTCCGGAAAACCGTGAGGGCAAACTTTTTCGGAGTGAGGGTTGTAAACTCTTGGAACAATCTACCAGAAAGTGTTGTGACGGCACCGAGTGTGAGCTCTTTCAAGAGAAGACTTGACCAACACTGGAGCGGGTTCAGGTACATTCAGGAGCCGGTGCATGCCCAGTATTTGCCAACAGTGCGTGACAGAGACGTGACCGATCGCCCGGGCGGCTAGCGAGCCGACCTTTTGGTGAAGAATATAAAGGAAAAGAGTCGTGACCGATCGCCCAAGCGGCTAACAAGCCGATCAGTGGCGAAGAGGATAAAAGTAAAAAGAAAAAGTAAAAGTGTAGATTCCCAACAGAATTCCTAGAAGTAATTATTAAACTTCCAACTACTTATTATACGCCACACTAGTCAGTTACTGTAGTTAATTAGTTACCTTAAGTTACTGTACAATGTGATTTCAGTTATCACGCGTTGTTATTAAAGCGATAATTTAAACCAACCAACAGGAAGTCAGCTGTGCATGGCAGCCAGCCATGTATCACTGCGACTGCGCAGGCAGGCTGCCTGAGGTGGCTTTACAATCTCTCAATTTTATGTAATTAATATAAGCGGCTGTAGTATCTGAATGAATCGTTGTCATGAATATAACAACGAAGGCCTCATCTAACCAGACAACTTATGAGAATCACTTGTGTATTTATATCGAAACTGAAGCGCTGAGTTGGCAACACTCAATGGATCAGATGGTGGGTCCCGGTGCCTGCCTGCCTGGTCGGTGGTAGTGAGTGTTCATTGCCTGGCTTCGACCGACCGCCAGTCCAAGATATAACAGCGTGAGGTAAGGTTGGGACTCACCATCGCTCACTGAAGCTCCGTTGCACAAGGCGAATCTCTTGTAACTACAGTGATAAATTCGTTTTTTTTATATGATACGTAACTACTATTTACATACGAATCATGCAACGATAAACGAATCGATTGTCACTGAATTGATCGTGAACGTTATAGATCGTTCTTACAGCGAGCGTAAAGTGCGTTTATCGTGAATTAGGAGCTCCTCTTTTTGAAACCCTATTAGCTAATGATGTTTGTGGTGATGAAGAGGCTGGGAGGTGTTAGTGACCACTACTGACAGGGAAAAAGTTGTTTGTTCTCGCTTCATTATTATTTTGCTCCGTTACTGCTGACGCGGCCTAAGATGTCATGTGATCGCTCTCTGATCAGTCCCAAGCAGTGAGCTTAATTAATATCTAACTGTTCAAGTGATAACAAAGATAAAATCACATTATTAATTATTTATAAACCTCAGGAAATCACTGTAGACTAATAACACTAAAATTATGAGGATTTATTTTTTTCTGTGAGGGGTAAATAGTTCCACGGTTATTGCATCTAAATACCATAACGTTGTGATTTAGTTAGTTATTGCATGGAAAATATTATGTGATGACATATTCTGTTGCTCACATTTTTATGTATTTGTGACGCGTGAAAATACAACAACGTCATAATGATTTTTAGTTTGTTTAGTTATGTATTAGTCAATCATTATTGTTACCAGCAGTGAATTACTACCACACTGTCTTAAAACAACACTAATTCCTGACGTCATCTTCCATCGGTCATTTATAAGGCTGTTTTTTTTTATTATTTAGTTTTTCCTTTATATTTCTTAGTTTTGTTGACGGTCTGTAGTTGTTGTAAGTTGTTGATATTTTGTAGTTGTTAGTTGTTGACATTTTGTAGTTGTTGTTCTACTTCTATTTCCTCTTCATCTTCTCTTCTCAAGTTCTTTACTATTATTATTATTATTATTATTATTATTATTATTCAATTTCCTTCTCTCATTTATGTTTTTTTTACATTTTGTCATTATATTCTTCTTTTGTTTATCTCATTACTCATTTGTTTTCTTTTATTTCTATATTTTTTTTTCTTATTTATCTTTTTTTTTCTTTTTTAGAATTATTTTTCCAGCTCCAGACCTTATTTTAATTTTTCAATATTTTATTTCCGTTCTTATTATTATCATCATGTCATAATCATCATCATAGTACTATTATTATTATTATAATTAGGTATTACAGTTAATTTGTGTTATTATTATTATTATTATTATTATTATTATTATCATAGTACTATTATTATTATTATAATTAGGTATTACAGTACAGTTAATTTGTGTTATTATTATTTTTATTATTATTATTATTATTATTATTGTTATTGTTATTATATTTTTTATCTACGTCTACTCTCTTGTTCACTTCCTCTTCTCCCCTTCTTCGGCTACTTTCTGATTTCTTCTTTTCTTTTCTCTCCTTTTCCTCTTCTCCTGTTCTATTCTCCTTCTCTTCTTCTAATCTCCTCCCTCTTCCTATCTTCTACTCTTCCCCTCCTTATCTTCTTCTCCTCTTACTTCACTCTCCTCCTCTCCCTTCACTTTCTTCCATATTGATCTTAGTGGTGGAGGTGTTATCAGAAAGGAAACAACAACCTGAAAGTTACATCCTGGTCTGGTTGAGTCGTCTCGTCTTCCCTGCTCAGTGCCTGCTCTCTTGTGACTCAAGGGGAACAAGATTATCGGCTGACAACAATCACATATACTGAGGCAACAATCACAGTTAATGAGGCAACACTCACTAAATGCCTCAAAGATCTGCGGCTTAACTAACTCAGCTTGGGTAGTTAGTTTTCTATTAGGAGAAATTAATGTGTGGAGAAGGTATATCTATGAGGGAAGGTTAGAGGCCAAGAAAATTGTAGTAGTAATAGTAGTAGTACAAGTAGTCGTAGTAGTAGTAGTAGTAGGATATTTAATTTTAAGATAATAAAATGGTGGCGAAGGTGTGGCTATTGGGGGAGGCTGGAGGCCACGTTATAAAAAAAAAGTAGTCGTCGTATAGAAGCATTAATAGTAGTAGTAATAGTAGTAGTATAGTAGCGTTAGTAGTAATAATAATATAGTAACGTTAGTTCGGTTGGTATTTCTGACTGAGTTGCATCTGCAGTTATTATCAGGTGCAATTTACAATTAGAAATACCAACTGAACCGAGACTGCAGTACATTACGTCCATTTGTAAACACCGTACCCAGGTGTGTGTGTGTGTGTGTGTCCAGGTGTTACAGGTAGAGATCTCTCCAGGTGTTACAGGTAGAGATCTCTCCAGGTGTTACAGGTAGAGATCTCTCCAGGTGTTACGAATTAATTAGAGATGAGAACCTCCTGTGTACAATAAACGGTTAAGGTTTGGTTACATTAGGTTAAATTCTCAAGTCTCCATTTTAATATTTCACATTGTTAAACTCGTGTAAATAACTAAGTAAACAGTTTAATAATCAGTACAGTAATAGCAAGGTGAAGCAAGCCAAGTTTACCAGTTGCGTCCCATCACCTAACACACCATAGCTGATGACTTAAAAGGTGACCACAGTGCAGTGAGAGACAGAAAAAGACAGACAGACAGACAGACAAACAGAGACAAAATTCAAGCGTGTAACTGGAGTTTAGTTCATAATGTACAAGAGAAATAGACTAAATTATTGTATGAAGTTTTATGTCTTGCCGTTTATATCCCAGTCCACGAGATGATCACCTGTTAATTTATTTTGTTCTTTTCTTGTTTGTGATCTTCCCAGGTGAGGTCAGGGAGAGCCGCCAAGCATGGACAAGACAGGGGGAGCGACTGACGGAGCGACTGACAGTGAGGACGAGGGTTTGGAAGATGTACTAAGGTATGCTCTCTCTCTCTCTCTCTCTCTCTCTCTCTCTCTCTCTCGTAATATTATATCCAAAGCAGCATCAATAATTTTGTAGTGAGAGTTTGTTGATGATTGATGCGTCTTCTTAATTACAAGTAAAAAAAAAATTAAGACAAATATCATTTAAAAATTTCTTAAGAATCCAAACAATTAATATTAGAGAAGAAACTAGATCCAACGTGGGTGTGTTTGTGTTTGCGTTTTTATCAGTCTTACCTTCCTTATCGGTATCGTGTCTCAACGGGGTTAATAACTTAGACTACTTATGGCTCTTCAGTTCCTCTGAGCAGTCGTCAATTTATTGTCATATGAAATAGCCTATATAAATAGATATAAAGACTAATATATAAGTTGAGAAACCAATAAGAATTAATCTTTTTTTTTTTTTTTTTTTTTTACAGGAGATGTATCCGGTCTATCCCGTTAAGTTCCAGCCAACAGCAGGAAGATGAAGTTTTGGACAATCCCATCATTTCGGGGTTCAGCAGAGGACAAGAATATGAGGAGTTTATACCAGTTGAGTATCAAGGGGAAGATTATGGCACGTCGAACCAAGGAGAGTTAGGTAGCGGAAGTAGCCAGGACGATGGGCCTTCATTATCGCTTTCCTCCTCGTCCTCCTCTGCTGCAGACGCTGACGAAGACGATAACCAGCACGACAAGAAGGATGAAGAGGAAACATCCGGTGGCAACAATCAATAGCATGGCGAATATTGAAGGTGTGGTGAAGGCAGGACACACACACACACACACGACTGAACAGTAGATATGCTAATCTTCCTCTCTGATAAAGTGTAAAATAAGATTAATTGCTGACGATGTGATAGCTTACATCTTCTCACCTTACAAGTCAAACCGATGACTTTCTTAAGTGCCTAAATAAAAAGCTTACATTTACCTCCCAATTTCTACCACTCTTATGTCTTCCAATAATTTAGATGATAAAAAGATTTTTAATTTCAGCAAAGTAATGTAATCACAACGAGTGCCTTAAATTTATGAATTATCAAATAAATGATTCCTGTTGTTGACGATCCCGGAGAGATATTTTAACGCTATGGGATAATAATCGTTCCATTCAACCCTACAACACTGAAAGACAATACTAAGACTTGGCCACACACGGTAACAATGTGGCCGGCAGTGCGCTTGACCGCCTTCCCTCTCTTCGCTGTAGAATTGAGTACTGCAGCAGATAACATCTTGAGCCTGCAGGAGCCTCTGTACCTTGAGGGCAGGAGGCTCGCGGCCGCTCTGTGTAGTCGGTAAATGGAGTAACTTTATATGGTTTATGTTATAGCTCCATGAATATTGGTTCCCATATTATAAAGGTAAATATCACTTGTTTTCATTTAAAATAGTAGTGTGTGTATGAAATTGACCAATTCGTGAACTGGGCTCCTAACCATTCCTAGGTTAGGTCGAGAGAGGTTAGGTTAAGACCCCATTTCACGAACTGGGTAGAAGATGATCATTCGATTAAACCCTAAAACGCAGTTGACGTGTTTACCAAATACGGAGAACACTTTGTTTTTATTAATATAACTTAATGTATGGTAAATTTGGTCTGTTTCATATAAGACATAATTTATTATCATGACATAAACAAATAGGTTAAATAAGGTTACGTTTGGTTAGGTTAGGTAATTATGTATGTCATAGATTTTTAGATTGCCCCCAAGGGGGCTAGTTAACCCGTTGCATCCTGTGCAAGGGGAAGCGCGGAAGCGTTTACAGCGCCCATTTGGGAAGCACGCGTAGTTCATGCTTGGCTTTATGACCCATGCATTAAGGGCGTAAAAGCCTGAAAGGTCATGGGTTTTGTCAGCAAGTTACATAAAGTGACAGAATGATGAGTCAGTCTACGTTTTCGCCTCCCAGGCCCCGCTGCGGGTCAGTGACCTGTGCCGGGGTGGGCTAATCCCCGTAAAATAAAAAAAATAAGGTTCTAAGACAATTTGACCCCCAGACTACTGCCTCTAGCATCCACATCATCATCAATCAACGAAACTGATTAAAATAGGAAATATAACACCTGTTTTGTATGCTTATAGAAAATTAAACCATTTGAGACTGTTTATATCAAGTAAAATAGGACAAGTTTGAGACGAATTTTGTTCATTGTATAAAACTTAGTGAACCAGAAAACAATTACAATGGAACTGAAATTAAAGGACGAGGAGGTAGAATAGGAGAGACGACTAAATTGGCTGAACAGGTAAGGTCACAGCATTAATTGTTGTCTGTCCTTCGCTTCTGTCCAGTCAACCTTTTACTTCTATTTAAATTTATTTCTCCATTTTTTTAGCCTTAAGAGTCTAGCCGGTAATGGTATTGCATCATAAACAAGACATTGTTCGTTCTTGGTTCATTCCTCAACTTTCTGGCTTCTCATGTCTCCTGTACTACCTGAAGATGTGAATAATCAAGAAAACACATTCAAACTTTCGTGTTTCTCTTTCCTTGTGGTGATCTCTGTATGAATAACGTGTCCTCTTCAAAAAAACAAGAATATGTCAGTAAAAAACAGCATTTAATAATCTCAAAAGCCTATTAAAAAATACACATTAAATTCAGTAAGAGAAAAAAAGTATATGGTTAGCATTGTTGTATGGGTCAGAAGCGTGGACACCTAACCCTGAGGCGGGTGGTGTAGCTAATTACACAGTATCCTGAAGGTGATCACATGGTACACAACAGCTGGGACTATAGCTTCAGGGCGGGACGGGAGGACGTCCTTGACAGAAGGGAACTAACTACACGCTTCCATCACAGCCATTTGTACGATGGTGATGAAAGAGTTGATATCCCTCGGTGTTAGAACACATTCCCACGCCTAGCCATACTGTTGACTGTAAATGAATCAAGTGCCGAGCTAAAAAAATTTGCTGGCGAAGGAGCTGACACCGTGAAGAGTAATAGAGATGGGAGACTGGACCACATGTGGTCCTCTCGAAGGTCTTGGTGGGTTCTGCAACTACGAACATGAAATGTATTAAGTTATTTTAGTTAATCAATAACACTACCACTTGGATTCCAATAAAATTAATTTATAATATTGGAATTAGTTCATTTTACCGCCACACCACCCCGTCAAGTACTGTACTGCGGTGTCCCTCAGGACTCATTTAGTTTAAAACTCGGGTTGAAACACGACGATCCTCTTCAAGGGAAGATGTTGTCTAATAATACGGGCGATTGTCTCGTGTCCACAGGACGAGGTGCAGGACTCTGTGTGGTGTACCGTTCCCTTCAGGAGGGAGAGGGTGGGGACGGTGTCTTAACTAACCCATGACCTAGGGGATATTACTCAAAATGTGGTTTTGGGACGTGAGGCGATGAACAGTAGAACACTGTCTCAATGGCCTCCCCCTATAGACTGGCTAACATACCACTAATGGAAAAAATATGTCGTAATCATGGCTCGCCGGATGGCTTATCTCTAGTAAAAGAAGCTTTGGATTTGGTTGCGTGGGTAAGTCTAACGCAACCCATGACAACGTGGTAGTATGGGCTGGTTGTGGTGTCGAACAGAAAGAAATTCGCGGACGACAGAGTCTCAGGCGGTAACAGGATAATTGAGAGGTACACTGAGCGCCTCTTGATGTGTGGGGGAGGGAAAGAAAAATGTTGCACGCGCTCCACTGTACTCGTGGAATTCCTTGTAGTGTCGCATTTTAACAATACAAACGCGGGAAGTCCAAGGATTCGACACGACAGAGGATGTGGAGACGATAGCAGGAAGATTTATCGCTTGCAGTGACGTTTGTAATAATAATAATAATAATAATAATAATAATAATAATAATAATAATAAACGGTTTAATGAAAAAGTTTGCAGCCCGAAGGCTGAAAATATACATTGGACATAAATGACTTATTACATACATTGGTGGTTTAACAAAAGCCTTCATTAGAGAAAGGTGAAGGAACATACAGTGAACATACAGATTAATGTTTAATGTGTGGGTGTGTGTTTGTGTGTGTGTGTGTGTGTGTGTGTGTGTGTGTGTGTGTGTGTGTGTGTGTGTGTGTGTGTGTGTGTGTGTGTGTGTGTGTGTGTGTGTGTGTGTGTGTGTGTGTGTGTGTGTGTGTGTGTGTGTGTGTGTGTTTGTATGTGTGTGTGTTCGACTTCTTTCTGTAACTCGCGTGTTCAACTGTCTTCAAGTATCGCTCCTCATCAGCCCCAGAAACAGCGACTATCAGGAAATTACAAGCGGTTGACGGAAGTTTACTGACACCCGCAGAGGATCCTGTGAACGTATCTAGTAAACGATTAACCTAACCTAATCCTGAAACTGATCTACCGGTTTGAAACTATAGAATGGTACTGTACTTCTATAACAACAATACAGTGTATGGCAGGACCCAATATATGGCAGGACCCAGTATATGGCAGGACTCAGTGTATGGCAGGACCCAGTATATGGCAGGACTCACTGTATGGCAGGACTCAGTGTATGGCAGGACCCAGTGTATGGCAGGACCCAGTATATGGCAAGACTCACTGTATGGCAGGACTCAGTGTATGGCAGGACCCAGTGTATGGCAGGACCCAGTATATGGCAGGACTCACTGTATGGCAGGACTCAGTGTATGGCAGGACCCAGTATATGGCAGGACTCACTGTATGGCAGGACTCAGTGATGACACGCAGCCATGACCAAGCACCACTCACTTCAACTCTTACCACCACCCACCACCTTGTATCCCTCTACCGACTGCTCTCCCACTCCCAGCCCTCCCACTCGCCAGCCCTCCCACTCACCAGCCCCCCCACTAACCAGTCCTCCCACTCACCAGACATACCACTCACCAGAAACCCCACTCACCAGAAACCCCACTCACCAGAAACCCCACTCACCAGACATCCCACTCACCAGACACCCCACTCACCACCCCCACTCACCAGACATCCCACTCATCAGAAACCCCAGACATCCCTCACCAGACACCCCACTCACCAGACATCCCACTCATCAGAACCCCACTCACCAGACATCCCACTCACAGACACCCCACTCACCAGACACCCCCTCATCCAGAAACCCCACTCACCCTCATCACCCCCACTCACCAGACACCCCACTCAACAGACATCCCACTCATCAGAAACCCCACTCACCAGACATCCCACTCACCAGACACCCCACTCACGTACAACTTGACAATCACAACACCCAATTAAACACAGCAGTAAAACAATACGAAGACGTCATCACAAACACCACTGACCTCGTCCTGACCTCACCTGACCTGACCTCACCTGACCTGACCTCACCTGACCTAATACTCTAACTTGTGGTCCTTCAGGCACTTACGCCCGAATATGCCTGAACATAATAACATAAGAAAATAAGGAGTCTGCAATAGGCTCGTTAGCCTGTGCATGGCAGCTCTTGTCGAGAGTTACTACCACTCTCTATCATCCATGAATCGATCTAGCCTCCTTTTAAAACTTTCCAGAGTTCCAGCATTTACTACAAAGTTGCTAAGCTTGTTCCACTCGTCCACCACCCTATTTGTGAACCAGTTCCTTCCTATCTCCCTCCTAAACCTAAACTTATCCAACTTAAATCCGTTGCTCCGAGTCCTATCCTGCTCGGATATTATAAGAACTTTATCTATATCCCCTTTATTGATTCCTTTCACCCACTTAAATACTTCTATCATATCTTCCCGCACTCTTCGTCGTTCTAGGGAATGCAAGTTTAGTTTCTTTAACCTATCCTGATATGGAAGGTTTCTAAGTCCCAGAATCATTTTCGTCATTCTTCGCTGCACCGACTCTAGTGAATTAATATCCATTCTATAATAAGAGCACCAGAACTGAACCGCATAATCGAGGTGCGGCCTGACTAGCGCAAGATATAGTTGCAATAAGACCTCTGCACTCTTATTACTTACACGTCTAGATATAAAACCCAATACTCTGTTTGCCTTATTTCGAACATTAACGCAATGTTTTCTAGGCCATAGGTCCGGGCTTACAAGTACCCCTAAGTCTCTTTCACAAGTCGACCTTTCTAGGTTGATGTTGTATACGTTAACAGTATTTGTTCTACCAATATTAAGTATGCTGAAACGAGAAGGCCAGCCTGACCTCCAAGTGCTTCCAAGTTGGGTGCTGTAAATGCTTTTGCGTTTCGCCTTACACAGGATGCAATGGGGTGCCCAATAAACTAGCCCCTCGCGGAGCAAATGAGAAGATCTGCCTTGTTAGAAAGTGTGATGTACCTTGTTAGAAAGTGTGGAGTCCTTGTTAGAAAGTGTGGAGTACCTTGTTTAGAAAGTGTGGAGTACCTTCTTAGAAAGTGTGATGTACCTTGTTAGAAAGTGTGGAGTCCTTGTTAGAAAGTGTGGAGTACCTTGTTAGAAAGTGTGGAGTACCTTGTTAGAAAGTGTGGAGTACCTTGTTAGAAAGTGTGGAGTACCTTGTTAGAAAGTGTGGGGTACCTTGTTAGAAAGTGTGGGGTACCTTGTTAGAAAGTGTGATGTACCTTGTTAGAAAGTGTGATGTACTTTGTTAGAAAGTGTGGGGTACCTTGTTAGAAAGTGTGGAGTACCTTGTTAGAAAGTGTGATGTACCTTGTTAGAAAGTGTGATGTACCTTGTTAGAAAGTGTGGAGTAAATTCCATAAAAAGTATTGGTCGAACAGTAGCTCTGAGAATCTTATTAAAAAAAATTTTGAACGGGAGCACACAAAGGAACACAGGCCAGGCAGTGCTCACGTGGAGGGTAGTGAAGAAGCCACCGAGACGGTCATCTGTTAGTGAGAGTAACAATACGGAAGTTGCCATAGAGAAGAATTTAAGAAAACAAATAGGGATCTCATTAAGTAGTGTCTGCAGAAACACCAAGGACAAGTTGTCTTCTGAATGTGTGCACTGTACAGTATATAAACATGGTGAATCATATGTAAGGAACGCAGTTATTTGTTGGGAATATAGCCACCTCATAAGGTCTGGCGTATTGGTTCAGTGTAGTAAATGGTAGTCTGGCAGCAGGCAAGCACGGGTTGATGGGTAGGCACCAGTCGGGACCCCAAGCTTTTCCTCCCATGTCTAACTTCATAATGAGAGAGAGAGAGAGAGAGAGAGAGAGAGAGAGAGAGAGAGAGAGAGAGACTCCCAAGCGCCGAAAGCATCAACAAACGGTGACATACCTGCTTGCACGTAGATCCACACTCCTACACAAACAACACATTCCTATTTCAATACCAGTCCAGCTCAGTGACTAATACAAAATATTCCGGAACCATAAAGATAAAAATACGGCAAAAATACAATTTTAGCAACTTACTGAGAAGAATGAGCAAAATTTGATGTGTGGCAACTGTGTTACGAGCGCTGGGCTTGCCTGGTGTAGTGTGAGCGAGACCGTGAGACGTGAGACAGACCGCAGTGAGAGCGATTGAGGGAGTAACTCCTCTCCATCGCAGCTCAGTCAGTGTTGGGACTGTCAACAGTAGAGACCTTGTGGACGTTCCTCGCCACAACGCTCACGGTAAGTAACTGCCGCAGTCATAGAATAATGTTAACACGAGACAGTGGTTAAGTGAGTAATTATGAAAGGTGAGTGAATTATTGGCAGCAGACACTGTATTCCTGAGTTACTTTGTGAGAGATAAGCGCTTCCGTGAGTCTAGCGATCAACTTCCACCATCGTTCCAGCATCTGATCCTCAAACACATCACAGTAATAGGGGTTGGGTGTAAATGGGACTGTCCAGCGGTGCCCCTTCCTTAACCAGCCAGGATGCTGTGTTAACATAACATAAGAACGGAGGAAACTGCAGCGGGCCTATTGGCCCATACTGGGCAGTCCCATTTACACCCAACCCCTATTGCTCATATCAGCATCCAACCTATGTTTGAAGCTATCCAGCGTATTCGAGTTAATAGTTTTACCCACTAGTCCGTGCCATCAAGGTGTGGGAATAACTCACATGACATGTAGTGTGTGAAGCGATCCTCGGTAGTGTAATGTTTACGTCAAGGGTGGTGAAACCTTAGGACGTCCCATTCCTCCGCTTGCGGCTGTCAGTCGTTCTGCATGTTTTACAATATAAGCGGCATCTGAGCGCTCTTCACGGCATTTTATGTTGCGGTTTAGTTATACCCTGACACCCCCCCCCCCCAACATTTGTTGACACTGTGCTCGGACTTGAAGCTACTGAATACGTACTGTACCTGGCGAGAAAAGGTATGCGCGGGGCTGCAGCTAACTGATGACAGACGGTCGTAGCAGGTATAATTATTTAAGATTAAGTGTATATAAATATTTTATGATATATGGGCTGGTCAGGAGTTATCATCCAGAGGCTATATACGTCATAAAAGCCGTACGCACTAGTGAGGCTATGTACGTCATAAAAGCCGTACGCACTAGTGAGGCTATGTACGTCACAAAAGCCGTACACACCAGTGAGTATGGATACAGCCGCCACAGTACGTCTCGTGTGGTGATTTTACTGATTAAATATTTTATTATAATTATTACTCCCTTAACCCAGCAACAGGCAGGGGCGCCATCTATGGCTGACCACGCCCCCAGACTTTCTTATTACTAGTGCCCAGGTGTTGAGACCAAATGACATAAATGTGTGCTTTCGTGAGTTAAGTAAAAAAAAAACTCACAATGTGCCCATGTTGTTTATATCATCCGCCTTTAACAGAAGCTCAAAGAAGTTGACAAAGAATATTTTCCTCATCTTTTCTACACAGAAGATAAGTTTCAATTTTGACTATTTAAAAAAAGATAGGTATTACAATTAATAAATACACCTGTTAGTTTGTTTAAATTTTCTTTCAGAGAGAGAGAGACGAGTTTAACATAGGAAATGTTACACACAACCAACATTTGTTTTCTCTATTGTGTTGCTCTCGTCATCTCAGAGGAGGTCAAGTTTAGTTGAGAAATTTAATAAAGGTTAATAATTTGTACAAACAATCCTAACCTAACCTAAACTGACCTAACCTACTGTTTGTGTCGTTTACTGGCAGGGAAGCAATGGGCATTATGCTTGTATGAGGATTTTTGAAGTAAAAAATATAATGTTTCTTGCTTGTTTAAAAGCTTATGATTTTTTTCCTGCAGTTTACAATGTTAAGTGTGTAAACATTCATTCAGTGTTGACTATTGTTATAAATTAATTTTACATAATTATAAATCTTTGGTGTGTGTGTGTGTATAGGACAAAAGTCCCCCAGGAGAAATAAGAATTTTTAAAAAAATTATTTTATTTTTTACAGTTTATGAATACTTCACCAACCTAACCTAACCTAACCTTCGGGAATTCTGTTATAGTTATAAAGAAGTATACAAGGAATGTTTATTAAATCTGCGATGACATATATGTTTTGTCTACTGGGGTAATTACTCCCCTGACATTCAGTGACCTCACTGGGCCCTAGGGTCACCTCAGTAAATACAGAATGAACATGAAGATAAAATGTCGTTTTTTTTCTTTTCTATTTATTTAATAATGTTCTATATCAAAATTGAAAGAGTTATAATATTCTAATTACTGTATTTAAATTGTAATAATTTCATATTTAAATCTTTATATTTTTAATATATCTAATGACCCTCTCTTTAACATAAACCAGGGGGCTTCTGTCCTATTTTGGACTTTTACTGAGGGGCTTTTGTCCTAGGGGGCTTTTGCAGGGCCAGATTAAACTTATTGGGGGTCTGAGGCACAGATCAACTTGGGGCCCCTACCCTCAAGGTATATATAAATAACAAGAACAAAATATACCCAAATTTATGAATGATTTCATCAATATTAAGCTTCTGCAAAATAACACATTTAATGTTCATAAGAGACAGAAAATTGAGACTTTGCTAGGACATCGTTGAACGAAGTGCATGTTTTATACGCTTCAACTTTGAGAATGTTTGGATTTGGGGGCCCCTTAGAGTCGGGGGGCCTGAGGCCAGTGTCTCAAGTGCTCCATGGTTAATCCGGCACTGGGCCTCTTTTGTCCGGGGCCCCGTGTGTGTGTGAGTGAAGACAGGGGGCAATTAATTAACTTTGCTTAACTCATTAACTTTTGAAATAACATTTTAACTTAATAGAAATTTGGGCAAATTAATTTATTTTACTTCGATTAATAATCAGTTAACGCCTTAGAAAAAATAACATAAAATATAACACACTAGCCCTTACACCCAGTGAGTATCCATACTGTTGATTTTCCTAACTTAATCGAACAAAACTTAATTAGTTAATTTGAAACTTAATAACCCCATGCCCCGTGTGTGTGTGTTCAGCTCTCACACAAAGTATCCAGAAACATACATCAATAGTTCTTTAGATATAATAATTCATGTACTTTTATGTGGTTCAAATAACACTGATTTTTTTCCCTATTTGTCTAAAATTCGTTTTATATCTCATTCGTGATTCGTTTATTTATATGGATTAACAAGTTAAATAAACACTTGGTTTTTACCATTTTATTAACGTTCATTAATAACATTAAAGAATAATTGGCTTTTTGGTCATATAAATTTCTTTGCTTTATCTTGAATCTATTTTGCTAAACATTATGTTGATGAATTTATTAACGAGAGAGAGAGAGTTTGTCTCTTAAGTGATGCAATTAAGTTATTGATATTGTCAACATCCTTCCTTCATATATCCGTGGAAATTAGTTTGTTTATTTCTATAAGGCATCAACAGTAACGGCCGGAGTTGACAAAAACCATCGATAAAAAAAATGAGTTTTGGTTTTAATACATCAATTTCTGTTCCATACGGTGCCATTCTCCGCTGCGTAGAACGGACGTGTGTGTGTAGACAAGATAACCCAAGGCTGAGGTGTGTCTTGATGTTGTATTAACTGTTTTTTCATTAAACAATGCTTAACCAGAAACTTTAGATAATGTACACAAACTTGGCACCTACTGCCCCCTCCGTATCCTGTCATGGTTGTGTATTACTGAGGGAGGACTGGCTGGGCTCAGGCTGCACCGTACACGCCTGCGTCGTCACCCTCCATTTTGTGCGAGTTCCTGTACTACAGTATATCGGTCAGTGTTGTGGTGTCATAGTGATTTAAATAATTTGACGCCGCACTCACTTAACAAGGGCTACCTATACTTAAGTACAAGGTAGCATAAAACATAAGGTAAAATAATGACACAGTGTTAATATACTGGAATGATTGTAGAAACTGTAAGTTATATATAATTTACAGGACGCCAAAGTCACCGATAAACACGCAACTCCATCCACCCTCTGCTCATGACACCTGTACGTTCTCACATAAAAAAATACACTTTTTTTTATTTACGAACAATAGTCAATTACTTAAGAAAACATAATAAACGTAGCGTATTTTCTTTGATAGAATATAACATTTATGTGCGCTATCACAAAAAATAATTAATATTGATTTTTTACTGAGTCAAATGTTGTAATGCATCCACAATACCTTGACGGTGTGTAAACCTGAGAACAAGGCGATAATTAATTTATCATTAGTGTTTAGTTACAGTAAGCAGCAACACACGTTAGTAAAATCTGTTTTAGGTTACCACTACGTAGTCTTGTGTATCAAGATAAAATAAAACTAATGTGAGGGTTTTTGGCATAGGCGAGGCAGCTCCAGTCTTGACCAATGAGGCGAGGCAGCTCCAGTCTTGACCCATGAGGTGAGGCAGCGCCAGTCTTGACCCATGAGGTGAGGCAGCGCCAGTCTTGACCCATGAGGTGAGGCAGCGCCAGTCTTGACCCATGAAGCGAGGCAGCTCCAGTCTTGACCCATACCACCATAACTTGTATTTAAAACTTGTCAACGTTAATATGATGTTAAGGGGTAAGTTGTTCTACACATTTATAATAACACAATAACATTATTATTCACTGAATGTTGAATGTTGCTCAGGTACACTGGACACACTTTGTTCACCGTTGTTCAAAAGTTATACATCGACAGAAGTGTAGTTTATAGTGATACAGACTTATTACTTTATTTATTTAACTAATCTGTTTGTTTATTTGGTAGTCCAATAATAATTTCCCTCTATAAAATTGCAAAGGTTAGATTAAACACGTACAGTACGTGTGCATACATGTATTGGCCTACAAAAATGGTCTTAAAAAATAATATATATATATATATATATATATATATATATATATATATATATATATATATATATATATATATATATATATATATATATATATATATGCTGATAACCACAAGGAAAAAGAAAACACGAAGTTCCCAAGCACCGCAGCGGTCGGTAGTCAGGTCAGAGGGAGAAACTGACCCAACCTTCTCACCTGGTTACAAATCTTCTTAATTACAAAATTGTCCAATTTGTACATGCCATTACTCAAATTCATGTTAACGGATTCGGTATATATATTTTGTTCTGAACTTCTACTTAGTTTGTACTCACCCCTAAAGATGTGAATTACACGAAAGCGCTTGGGAACTTCGTGTTTTCTTTTTCCTTGTGGTTATCAGCATATACCTGGATCGCGCGCACCTACAGTGATTTATTTCCACACACACACACACACACACATATATATATATATATATATATATATATATATATATATATATATATATATATATATATATATATATATATATATACACACACACAACTTTTTGGGCCTGTCAAAAAGAACCCTTAAAACTGTAATTAGGAAAGAACTTATTGATGAGTTTGACGCAAGTAGACAAGTGCAAACAGGCACTAGTCGAGCCATAGGTTACCATGATGAGATGTATCAAGTGAAACATGTATATGGAGCAAGTAACAAGATCACTAGATTACAAGATGTTGTAACCGCTAGATTAAGGTTAGGATATAAGTACCTTTGGCAGTATGTTCCTCAAGCAGATGTAAACAAAACTAAATGTAAAGTGTGTGGCCATACATATGGCCACGCACTTGAACACTACGTCCTCGACTGTGTGAAGATAGAACCTTTTAGGGACAGGTCCAAGCACACTGTGTGTGAAATGGCACAACACTTCATCTCTAATGGCAAGATAGCCGACATATTAAGATTGTATCCACTTTTTTGCACTTAAGTAACTATATCAATTCTCATGTACAGAACCAAATACGCAATGTGCTTGAATACCTCCCACGTAAATGTGAATAACAAAGTGTGAGGCCAGACATACTGCCTCACACGCCTGTTCTCACGCATTTGTGAATAAGTTACCCTTTATGTATAGAACTAAACAAATAATGTAAATGAAATACTGTGTAACTTTCAGTGCCATAATATCCTGACAACGGTGGTTAATTATTATGACCCTTTGTAAACCCTACTCTGTAATCCTTTTGCGCTACCGTTCACAGGATGAGTGTGGGGTGCACAATAAAGTAGCCGCTGCAAGCGGCAAAATCAAAATCAAATCACAACTGCCTTGGTGAATATCGCGCTAAATAACTTACATCAGCAATATTATCCTCACTCGCCTACAACACATCAGCAATATTATCCTCACTTGCTTATATCACAGCAATATTATCCTCACTTGTCGGAGACCTCTTAGTTCAACTAGTGGGGATATTTTTGTTGTTGTATAGAGGTAATAGACACGACCTTATTTGTCAATTTTACTTTTTCAACAACATTTATTTATCATCAGATTTATCAACAGTTTTGGCATTTTCTTCATTATCTACTTCATTATTACTTTATTTACTTCATTATTTACTTTATTTACTTCATTATTTACTTTATCTACTTCATTATTTACTTTATCTTATTACTTTATCTACCTCATTATTACTTTATCTACTTCATTATTTACTTTATTTACTTCATTATTACTTTATCTACTCATTATTACTTTATGTACCTCATTATTTACTTTATCTACTTCATTATTTACTTTATCTACTTCATTATTACTTTATTTACTTCATTATTACTTTATCTACCTCATTATTACTTTATTTACTTCATTATTTACTTTATCCACTCATCATTATCTTGAGAATCTGCATTTTATTATTTCCATGACTATGGTGCATTATTCCTCAGTATGGTGGTCATGAGTCATGGAGTATGGTGGGGGTCATGGGAGTATGGTGGGTCATGGGATATGGTGGGAGTCATGGAAGCATGGTGGGGGGGGTGGGGAGTATGGTGGGGAGTCATGGGAGTATGGTGGGGTGGTGGGAGTATGGTGGGGTCATGGGAGTATGGGTGGGGCTGGGTGGGAGCCTGGTATGGTGGGGGTCAGGAGTATGGTGGGAGTCATGGGAGTATGGTGGGGGTCAGTGGGAGTATGGTGGGGGTCATGGGAGTATGTATCATGGGAGTATGGTGGGAGTCATGGAGTATGGTGAGTCATGGGAGTATGGTGGGGGTCATGGGAGTATGGTGGGGGTCATGGGAGTATGGTGAGTCATGGGACTATGGTGGGGGGCATGGGAGTATGGTGGGGGCCGGTGGGAGTTTGTGGGGTCATGGAAGTATGGTGGGGGCTGGGGAGTATGGTGGGGTCATGGGAGTATGGTGGGGTCATGGGAGTATGGTGGGGTCATGGAGTATGTAGAGCAGTGGGAGTTGTGGGGGCATGAGAGTATGGTAGGATGGGTGGGAGTATGGGGGAGTCATGGAGTATGGTGGGGGTCAGTGGAGGAGTGGGGAGTCATGGGAGTATGGTGGGGGTCATGGGAGGCGGGGGGGTCATGAGTATGGTGGGAGCAGAGAGGGGAGTCAAGTGGGAGTATGGTGGGGGTCATGGAAGTATGGTGGGGGCCAGTGGAGTATGGGACAAGGGACTATGGTGGGGGGGTCAGGGAGTATGGTGGGGGTCATGGGAGTTTGGTGGAGTCATGGGAGTATGGTGGGAGTCATGGGAGTATGGTGGGGTCATGGGAGTATGGTGGGGGTCATGGGAATATGGTGGGGGTCATGGGAGTATGGTGGGGTCATGGGAGTATGGTGGGAGTCATGGGAGTATGGTGGGGGTCATGGGAGTATGGTAGGAGTCATGGGAGTATGGTGGGGACAAATTGATAATAGGAAAGACAAACAAATCAACAAATACACAAAATGAAACAAAATTCAAACAAAAACAAACAATGAAAATATTGACAAACAAAAACAAACAAATATAGCCACACAAAAACAAGTAAACAAACCCGTAAATCCTAAACATAAATATACCAACAAAAACAAACAAAACGTAAAAAAAAAACAATAAAAAAATCAACCAGAACTAAGCTTAACAAAAAAACAAAAACAAATTCCACAAACAAATAAACATGAAAATATTGAGCATAAAATACAAAATAAAAAACCCGTAAACAAGTAAAGTAAAAAGAAAATAAACAACAATAGATTACATAAACAAAAACTGGTGTCGCATCCTGTTGTCACTGTGTTGTGCCACCACTAGCGTAGCTAGGGGGGGGCGGTCCGCCCCGGGCGGCACTTTTGGGGGGGCGGCACTTTTGGGTCTGCTCATCACCCATATCTGCAGCTACTGGAGACGTTAATCCATCCCTTTGTATCGGCGGCAAGTTAATCCTTGTCGTGTCTGACCTAACACCTGACCCACATCATCACGGCCACGTCATGAGCTACACCCTTGCTATGCGCCCCCCCCAGCCACACACACAACCTGTAACCTGTTGAGGATTAAGGAAACAACTTCAAACAAGTACGCCAGTGAGCTCATGTGGTGTGGGTCAGGTGTTAGGTCAGACACGACGAGGATTAACTTGCTGCCGATACAAAGGGAAGGATTAACGTCTCCAGTAGCTGCAAAACCATGCAGTCTCGGGTCATATCAGTTCATGTACAGCCGACCAATCCACCAGTTACAAGCAATTCACTTCAGTTCTGCACAAGTCTCCATCGTGACAAGACGAGGGGAGGCTAGACGACTTTTAAGTTCTCTTGTGTTTTCGATCCAGTTATTTACTTCGTTGGAAGACATAATACTATAAGGTAAGAAATATTAAAGTATTGGTTAAAAAATATTGATGTGACTTTTGCTGCGGTACTGAGATTAAATATTAAGATTTTGTTTCACAGCATTGCGATTTTATACTAAGACACTATCCTCACTGGGGTACAGACAAAAGCCCCCCAGACGAAAGCCACCCAGACAAAAGCCCCCTACTTTGATCGGGGTGGCTTTTGTCTGACAACAGTAAGGCAAACTATTTAATATATATATATATATATATATATATATATATATATATAAGAGTGAGTCACTGTGCAATATGTATTTTTTGTAGGGTCACGGGGGGGGGGGCGGCAAACTCATAGTTCCCCGGGCGGCACACACTCTAGCTACGCCACTGTGTGCCACCCTGTTGTCACTGTGTTGTGCCACCCTGTTGTCACTGTGTTGTGCCACCCTGTTGTCACTGTGTTGTGCCACCCTGTTGTCACTGTGGTGTCATTCCTGATGATGACTGCAAAGGCGATAACAGACGTGAATGATAAACGGGTTATGCAAATTTCTAGGTATTGGATATCAGTTGTGTGTAATCAGGACGCGGCCTCACTCTACATTATCTTATCTACCGTCAACTTGATATTATTTAGCGCTACCCACACACACCCCCTCACTCCATCCCTCTACACCCTTCTGTCCACCACCACACACCTCCCAACCGACCCCACCCTTTAACAGACATGTGTGTGTGTGTCTCTCTCTCTCTCTCTCTCTCTCTCTCTCTCTCTCTCTCTCTCTCTCTCTCTCTCTGTCTCATATAAGTACAATATACAAGTCCTTATTCTCGTTTAAGTGATTATATTGACCAAGTACTTTCCTCCTCCCTCACCTCAGATAACACAAAGGATCCGAGAGTCCCACCTGTACTCAGCTGATTGCACACCTGTTAAAATGACGACCATGGATGAATACTTTGACAGGTGAGTGCCGTTCATTGGTAATACCTGTTTTCTTCACGTACTGTTCTGGTAAAATGTTGTGTTAGGATTGGATTGTCAGATACAAGCGAAACTATGTTGAATTACATGCTTTTCATAATCACACAGGTATCAGGTTTGTGAATTTACATTTATAGCTTCATTACTAAACGCGCACACACACACACACACACACACACACACACACACACACACACACACACACACACACACACACACGAGATATAAAACGCATAGATACGTAAATACCAGTGTACTGTCACAAACACATTCATAGACAGTGTCCGATATTACTCTGAATAACACCTGTTGCGTATGTTCAGTTAATTTTTACTTCGTCTCGTTCCTTCTCACAGAATCACAGAAGCATCACTTGACAACAACTCCGAGTTCATCACGGTGTTCAGCCAAAAGGACTGGCAACTAGAGCTCCACGAACCAAACTACGCGCCAGTTACCCAGATGATGTCGACATTATCAATCGACAGAAACCTGACGCGTCCGTCACAGGCTCCCGATATCCCCACCACCACTTTCAACCTGGTTAGTTCTTCCACCCACAGCTACACAGCCCAAACACCGCAACGCCATGGGAACAACATCTTCCAGGACCAAACACAGCAAGGACATTGGAACAGCTACCAGGCCCAAACACAGCAAGGCCACGGGAACAATATCTACCAGGACCAAACACAGCAAGGTCATTGGAACGACATGAACCAGCAACAGCAAATGACTCGCCAAGAACCTGGAATGACAATGAACCCCGCTGCCCATCTTGAACCTGAGGGCTCTCGACAAGGTCGTGGTCACCGACGCCCTCGAGGTGACCGTTTGGACCTGGTAGCCAGGGATGATGATCATTGCTGGGTGTCGCGGAAGTAGCCTAGCTGTAATCGTATCAAATCTTCTGCTAGATAGAATGTGTTTGTAAGTAACATCTTTTAAAATCAAAGCCGGTTCTCACGAGCAGTGGCTCTCCTGAGGTGGGGGGGGGGGCAGATAATTATTTTACCAATTTATGAACGAAAAGGCCACTGTGTTTCCAGGATCTTAATATGTTTGTTATTATAGTTAACCTTCTGACAAAACAAGTGATTTAGAATATAACAAAACACTCCCTGCCCCCTGAAGCGAATGACTACCAATACAGAAGGATCACTTGCAGGAATCCTTTTACACGATCAACCAAATACTATGAGTTTTGTTTCCCAGACAGTGGCTCATTAGTTCATCAGATTAGAGAAGGAAAATAATAGAATAATGGACTAGGTAGGAGATCCCCACAACACTGAATGACCCCTATACATATGTGGCCAATGTGTAGATGGGCTTGTTTGTACTGTACCACTTATGAAGGTACGGTACGGTGCATGGACAGTAACATCAATGATGGTACACAAACTAGGGATAATTTCTTACTGATAACTTCGATGTACTATACTGTTTTGTGGGGAAACTTCTGACTGGCTAGTGATAATCGTGTTGAATTAGATCATTATAATACATAGAGATAAATAACCTCTAGAAAACTTAACCTAACCAACTTCCAAGTATAATGTCGTGTCGTACGGTGATAAACGAAACGGCAAAATGTGTGATATGAGGTAATTTTTCACGAAGTTTTTCTAAAAAATAAGAAAGTCATTCCTTTTCGCAAATACATTCATTGTTTTGTTGACTTGCGATTATCTCTCTCTACCGAAACAGAAACACACACACACACACAATATATATATATATATATATATATATATATATATATATATATATATATATATATATATATATATATATATATATATATAAGTTGGTCAGTTTTAGCTCTTAAGAACTTTATTGTTTTAACGAGTGCATTAGTAATGATACCTGTGCCTTGTGCTCACTATAAGGAATAGAGTTAAATGCCACAAGAGATTATAATTTATACCAATATTGTCGTGATGTTTAGGATAGCTGTACTGACGATATATCTATAATTTCATAGCAAAAAAACTTTTCTTATATTACGTTAAGATGGCAAAGAACATCTTAGAGTTAAATACAAATCAATTTAACCATGGATGCAGTAATCTCCATGTATATATTTACAGTACAAAATATGTAAACGCCGCGCCGCCAAATGAAGCTTCATTAGTTTATTCTTCCTAAAACTGATTAAAAAAAAGTTTGTTTTCACTTGATTTATTATAAGTTTTTTCTTTTGCATGTTTTGTAGTGTGTGTTTTGTGATAAGTAGTTAACAGTGACACACTATATATATGTAAGTCAGTGTTGTTGGTTACTGAGCTGAACTAATGCTGTGTGATAAATATGTGAATCTTCTACTCCTCTCTCTCTTACCCTGTTGCTTTATACTCGATATTGCTCTCTGGTTATTGATCCGTCATTGTCTTCCTCTGTTCCCCTTATCTTTATCTAGGTCTCTCCTTTGTGTGTACCATTTCCTACTTTCTCTCTCTTTCTGTGTCTGTCTCTATCTCCTATCTCTTTCCATGTTCTTATCTGTTCTTATCGTTCCTCTTGCATTATCTTCGACCATCTCGTTCCTGTGAGATAATTTCCACTTAAAGAGAAATATTTAAAGATGTGATATATTACATGTAATTATATAATTTGAAGTGAATATTAATAATAAAAATACATATATCAATTATTGGTTCTGCTATTTCACCTTTTTAAGGCGTTTGAGAATGCGTTTGTGAGAGAGAGTGGTGAAAAGAGTGTGTGTGGGAGAGTGGTATAAAGAGTGCGTGTGTGTGGGAGAGTGGTAAAAAGAGTGTGTGTGTGGGAGAGTGGTATAAAGAGTGTGTGTGTGGGAGAGTGGTAAAAAGAGTGTGTGTGTGGAGAGTGGTATAGTGTGTAGAGTGGTATAAAGAGTGTGTGTGTGGGAGAGTGGTAAAAAGAGTGTGTGTGTGGGAGAGTGGTAAAAAGAGTGTGTGTGTGGGAGAGTGGTAAAAAGAGTGTGTGTGTAGGAGAGTGGTATAAAGAGTGTGTGTGTGTGTTTCTGTACCCGTGTTTCATTCTATCTGAAACACCAACAATAATAATAAAGATAAAGAACGATACTGACATTAATAATAATAATAAATAATGAAAATAAGAAATAATAAGTCATGATAATAAAATAATAATAATAATATTTTGACACTAGAAGCATCCCATAATAAACAAACGCAGTCACACACAGAAAATCCAATATTTCTTTATAATTAAGATAATTTTAAGCTCTGATACCAGCTGTACTTTGCTACCATTAGTTCCATTATACCAGTTATCCCCCTAATACCATCAGTCTCCTGGTATATTCTGTCTCGTGATAACAACTGTCCCCAAGGCCTAACGCACAGACAGACACACACACACACACACCAAGACCAGGTTTATGTACATTAACCTCTCCTTTGACTATGTCCGACCTCCCTCCATCACGCAGGGCTCCACCTCCCTCCGTCACTGGAACCCAACACACTCCAGATCGTGGACTCACAAGAACAAGAACACAAGAATAGAGGAAACTGCAGCGGGCCTATTGACCCATACTGGGCAGTCCCGTTTATACCCAACCCCTATTGCTCATATAAGCATCCAACCTATGTTTGAAGCTACCCAGTGTATTCGAGTTAATGATTATATTTGGTAACTTGTTCCATTCATCCACTACTCTATTTCCAAACCAGTGTTTACCTATTTCACGCCGAAATCTAAATTTGTCTAATTTAAAACCATTGTTACGAGTTCGCTCCTGGTTGGATAGTTTGAGTACCTTTGTACTGTCCCCTTTGTTTAACCCTGACTTCCATTTATACACCTCTATCATGTCGCCCCTCAATCTACGTCTCTCAAGGGAGTGCAAATTAAGATGCATTAACCTGTCTCTGCATTCAAGGTTCCTATTGCCCGGGATTAGTCTTGTCATTCTCCTCTGGATTCTTTCCAAGGATTCTATATCCATTCTGTAATACGGTGACCAGAACTGAACTGCGTAATCCAGGTGAGGTCTCACAAGCGCTAGATATAATTTTAGGATGACCTCGCTAGTCTTGTAACTAACACTCCTTTGTATGAACCTAAGGACTTTATTAGCCTTGTTACGAGCAAAAACACATTGTTTACTTGGCTTAAGATTCCTACTTATCATTACTCCTAAATCTCTCTCGCAGTCGGATTCCACAATGGCATCGTTGTTCATCTGGTAACTGGTTTCCCTGTTTACATCTCCTATACTGAGTACTTTACATTTTCCACATTGAATTTCGTCTGCCATTTTTCCGACCATTCGAAATTTTTTTTTAGATCTTCCTGTAGTTTTGCAGAGTCCTCGTCAGATTTAATTACACGTCCTATTTTAGTGTCATCAGCAAATTTACTTATGTTGCTGTCTATGCGGATATCTATGTCGTTTATGTATATAATATATAATAATGGTCCAAGTACTTAGCCTTGGGGAACTCCACTAGTGACGTTGCTCCAATGCGATTTAGTGCCGTTTATGCTCACTCGCTGTTTCCTGTCCTGTAACCACGCCCTAATCCATTTAAGGATATTACCTTTGATGCCATGTGCTTCTACCTTTCTTATTAGTCTTTCGTGGGGGACTCTGTCGAAGGCTTTGCTAAAGTCGAGATATACCACATCATAATTGTGCCCCTCGTCCACCGATTCGAAAACTGATGAAAAGAATGTTAATAGATTAGTTAGACATGAACGCCCGCTTGTGAAGCCATATTGGGAATCATTGATCAACTTGTGCTTCTCCAGGTGATTTCGAATAGAGTTTGAAATGATTGATTCTAGTAATTTACCTACTATTGATGTTAGACTGATTGGGCGGTAGTTAGAGGATAGTGATCTATCTCCCTTCTTGAAAATCGGTATTACATTCGCTATCCTTCAGGATTCTGGTACTACACCTGTTTTTAATGACATGTTAAACAACTTTGCTAAGGGGATACTAAGCTCTTCCTTACATACCCCATCAAGCTCCTCGGCTTCACTATACTGTAGAAGAGATGTCATCCTGAACTGTTTTGTATAGTATAGTACACAACACCAGAAACGTCAAATCTTTAAACTCTCGTCACTACGTCATCCGTCGTGTCCACACCCTTGAGCTCATGAATATTTACACCTACGACTCTCTTGTTTGGTCTACTTTACTTCTACACAACAAGGAGTTTTAAAGGGTGCAGATGAGGACATGAGAGACTATTCTCTACGCCTCTTACACCACATATCACCAGGCCCTGTCAACTCTCTCTGATTATCGTGGCGACAAAGATGATACACCATTCTCACCACCGACACTTGCTGCCAACTGAGATCCCCCGTCTGCGATTTGCTACTCGACACCACAACCGTATCCAGCCCGGGGCCCAGACAAAAGCCCCCTAGGACAGAAGCCTCTAGGACAAAAGCCCCTAGGAGAAAAGCCCCTCAGTAAAAGTCCAAAATAGGACAAAAGCCCCCTGGTTTATGTTAAAGAGAGGGTCATTAGAAATATTAAAAATATATAGATTTAAATATGAAATTATTACAATTTAAATAATTAGAATATTATAACTCTTTTAATTTTGATATAGAACATTATTAAATAAATAGAAAGAAAAAAGACGAAATATTTTACCTTCATGTTCATTCTGTATTTACTGAGGTGACCCTAGGGCCCAGTGAGGTCACTGACCGTCAGGGGAGTAATTACCCCAGTAGACAAAACATATACGTCATCGCAGATTTAATAAACATTCCTTGTATACTTCTTTATAACTATAACAGAATTCCCGAAGGTTAGGTTAGGTTAGGTTAGTGAAGTATTCATGAACTGTAAAAAAAAAAATATTTTAAAAATTCATATTATTTATCCTGGGGGACTTTTGTCCTAGGGGGCTTTTGTCCTAGGGGGCTTTTGTCCTACGCTCATCCAGCCCATATGACCTTTTGTCCTTTGTATATTTTTAGCTTATGACTGTTATACACATATAACAATATTAATTAATCATCTGATATACGATTGGCAATGTTGCCTAAGGTCGTCGGGCTGGATGCTGGCAACATTCACCGGATGTGTCACAAGCAGCGAGGGATGCTGTTGTATGGAGAGGTTTCTTCTCGTCCTCAAAAGTTAAAGGATGTTTATTTATGTTTCCCACTGACTGACAAGATAAGTTAAGACGAGGTAAAGTTAACGTGATATTCTAAAGTGTTCATAAACCATGAACAGTGTTATACATGTGTTCTAATGTTACCATGAACAGTGTTATACATGTGTACTATAACCCCACCACCCTCACTTATAAGGACGCTTGTGCGGAGTGTAAGGGAAATCCATCTAGTCATATCTGAGAAAATACGTGATCAAGGACGGACACACGAGCCACTAACGGGAGGTAAAAATAATGTAAAACGGTTGAGACTCTTGGGCTGCTGGTGATTTCTTCAGGTACAAGAACAGGAAGTGTCGCAAGACCATAAATTCCCGGGCGACGTTCTGTGATGCAGCACCTGGACACTGAATCATGCAGCGAGAAGGTCATGAGCGTCTGTTTCCAGGCAACTGCGAGCCAACGCCACTCTGGGCCTTCCCCGCTAATGGATGGTGTTCTGTAGTGTCAGTAGTAGTAGTGGGAGTAGTTAACGGTTTATTGAGAAAGTTCTGCAGCCCGAAGGCTGAAAATATACATTGGACATAAATGACTTATTACATACATTGGTGGTTTAACAAAAGCCTTCATTAGAAAAAGGAAAAGGAACATAGAGTGAACATACAGATTAATGTTTACAGTGGAAGTCACGTAGATCATGTGAGCTGAGGTGTTGAACAGCAGACACGTAGTGTAGTAACTCCCTCACAGATGGTGTTGAGGGGCATCACGTGGTGTAGTAATTCCCTCACAGATGGTGTTATGAGGGGCATGATGTGGTGTAGTAATCCCCTCACAGATGGTGTTATGAGGGACCTGATGTGGTGTAGTAATCCCCTCACAGATGGTGTTATGAGGGACCTGATGTGGTGTAGTAATCCCCTCACAGATGATGTTATGAGGGACCTGATGTGGTGTAGTAATTCCCTCACAGATGGTGTTATGAGGGACCTGATGTGGTGTAGTAATTCCCTCACAGATGGTGTTAGGGGGCCTCACATGGTGTAGTAATTCCCTCACAGATGGTGTTATGAGGGGCCTCACATGGTGTAGTAATTCCCTCACAGATGGTGTTATGAGGGACCTCACGTGGTGTAGTAATTACCTCACAAATAGTGTTATGAGGAACCTCACATGATGCTGTAGCAACTCATTCACTAAGTGGTGTCGTAGCATCATGGGAACACCACGTGGTCTGGTGTCAGAGGACCTCACTGGTGTGATCCCAGTCCTCCCTATGGTGGACGGATTAACACATAGCTGGTGTTGTTGAGTCTCAGGGGCAGTTATCACTGGGTACCTGGGACCTCACTGTGTGAAGGTTAGCTCGGGTACGATTCAGGTGTTACTGTAGAGTTGTTTTTCACTGACTTAAGCACTGTTCACCACTATTCAACGCTGGTTCCATTCCTTTCCTAAATGAAATAGTAACTTCTGGCGAGAACTTGTTGATATTCCGGTGGGGAGGAGGGTTCAGGGGAGGGAGTTGGTATGGACCAACATAACAGTTGCCA